CACCCACTCACTCTCCCACTCGCAGACTCTGACTCGCTCTCCCTCACACTCGCACTCGCACTCACACGCGCACTCACTCACCCACACTCACTCACACCCACACTCACTCTCACTGTCACTCTCACTCACACTCGCACTCACTCACTCACTCTCGCACTCACACTCGCTCTCACTCTCACCCACACTCACGCGCACCCACCCTCACCCTCACTCACACTCACTTACACTCACACTCACTCTCACTCGCTCTCGCTTTCGCTCTCGCTCTCGCTCTCGCTCTCACACTCACACTCACACTCACACTCATTCACTCTCCCACCCTCACTCTCACTCACACTCACTCTCACCCACACTCACTAACACCCACCTTCACTCTCACTCACGCTCACTTACACTCACACTCTCTGACTCTCACTCTCACTCTCACTCTCACCCACACTCACTCCCACTCACACTCGCACTCACACTCACTCTCCCACCCTCACTCACACTCACACTCCCTCTCACCCACACTCACTCACACCCACCTTCGCTTCATCGCCACCATCACCTCTCTGGAACCCAATGCATCTACTGTAGATCTCTAGACTTTCTGCTTACAGACCTCACACACACTGTTTACACACTGTTTGGGGTCTCTGGCCGGGATAATTAAGGATCTTGGAAGGAAGGCGAGCGGGTCTGAAGATTGGGCCCACCATGCCCCACCAACTGTTTTCTTTAGGAGGGAAAGTTGGAAAGCTTCTTAATGCTTCTTACACTCCCTTGAATCATCACTGCATGCAAGCGGGTGGCATGGCCCCCGATTTCGGATGACCGTATTGTCACGGAATACCAAAACGGGTGGTGCCCTCCCAAGCTCAGGATACTAGAACTTGGCCCCGTTTAAATGACATGACCTTGGCACAACCGGGAGCCCCTTGTCTTCGCGCGCACAGAGCGCCGGCATCGCGCGGTGCTTTCTCCAGCTCGAGGCTTGGTGCAGCAACTATACGCAGGTGGCCGCTTCTCAGGCGGATATCGACGCTGGGCGTGGCCTTGAAAAGAATAAGACGTTTTCCATCCAAGAACAGAACATCATCACATAGGTCAAGGGGTCAAGGGTCAGGTGTTGGATGGAGTTTCAAAAGTGCGATGGAGTGAGCACCATACAGAAGCCCAATCGGGTTTCTTCTGGCGGAAGAACTTGAGTTTTTCCAAGGTTTGTTTAGTTATGCTTGGATGATTTTACAGAAGGACCTCTATTTAGGCCGGGCATGGCAGTGGTCAAACAAATCGTCAAACACTGTAAAATATTGAACGTTTATGCACGTTTATTTGTTTAAGGGAGTGTGAACCCTTACAAACTTGATCCCCCCATACTCTGTGTGTTTATGAAATTGCATCCTGTGAGGATATAAAATGAGGAAACCAGCCACCATTCTATAAATGGGCAATGGGCCCAGTAAGGGAAAATCATAGGCTCAGAATGTGCCAGACATGAAGTGGTCATTTAATAAAAAATCAATGTGTAGATGATATGAATTTATGAAATGGACCGGTCATGATATGTGTTGGGCAGACTTGGCCAGGAATTGGTAGAGTCAATTTATATAAAACAACTATGTTTTGATCCCCAAATCCAGACATCTGAAGAAACCCAATTTATAAAAAAAAAGGACTCCTCCAACATCAAGCAGGCAGTTGATCATTTTGTAAAAGACAATCCTTTGTGGATCCCCGTAAAAAATTCATCCATAGAATCAGTCCCCCCAGGCTCCTGCATAGAACGGTTCTACGAACTACAGTGGTCTGATTGGCCTTAACAGAACACTCATGATCTGATGATATCTGATGTCCATGTAGTCATTTTATAAAAAGGTTGGCTTTATCATTTTATAGTGTTTTATCCTATGCAGATCATTTTATAGTGAGGATTTTTTAACAAAATGACAAAACCACAGGCCCCTGGACTAAGTAAGGGGGATACAACTTGTATACAGTATATTGCGGTATACAATCATTGCTTCGAGTCGATTTGGACATGGCTGCTGGCCATTGGGTGCTGTGTTTGGGAGCGACCATTCAACGCTTCTCACAACCAACCGAAATGTTGAACACGTATTTTCAACAACCTAGACTACCTTGAGTCTCCAATGACCCTTTTATATTGCCTTTCCAACAAAAAGATGTTTTTGAAAGAAAACATTTTTTGCATATGTCACGAAATGTTCCTTTTTGTTTGTGCCCTGTCAGATCCTCCTTAGACAGTGTCCTGAGATTTTTTTTCAGCGTCCAAAACGCGTCTTTTTGCGTCCAAAAGGCGTCTTTAAGCGTCCGCGCCGGACGCGTCCGGATGAAGATTCACTTTGCGCCTTTTTTTTTTTGAGTCCTCATCCCTAAAAACGCGTTTTTCGAGCAAAACCACAAGAATATTAGACCCAAAACAAAAACGCAAGAAAAAGTCTTTGGATATTCAAAGTATATCTATCATTGCTCTTTTCTTGGTGCATCTTCTCATTTCTGTCCACCCTGTTTTGCTCTACTTCTCCAGACCGAACACCGGAATCCCGCTGGTTTCTGTTTTTTTCGGGATTCGAAGCAGAACCATGTGCCGAGGATCCTGACAGCATCTTCGGCTCCCGTATGCCGCTGTGCGACCTGGAGCCTTGGTCATCGAGGGATTCAGCGGGTGGAGCGGGCGGACGAAGGCTTTTAAGAAAAAACGGTGGAACATAGTGGGCCTGGGATTCCTCACTGAAACCCAAGCAGGTTGAACAAAGATACTGCACATTTGTGACGTTATACTAAGTTTTCCATGGAAACTAAGGGGGGTCAGTCCTCTACTCACGAGATGGGTGGAAGCAAAGCAGGTTCAACCAACAGAACTCCCGGAGAGTTGCCCTTTCAGCGGTTCTTTGCAATTTGGGTAGCTGCTAGCTCACTCTGGGCTCTATTTGGACCATCGTGGTCCACCAAGGAGGTGGTGCCTGACCAACGTGGAGGGTATTTGGGGTGACCAACGTCGGTGTGGCCATGTGTGGCCTCATTCGCAGGATACGTTGGTCGAACTGTTCTGAGCGCTGCTCCATCCTGAGGACGCCATTTTCCCCGATAGCTTCTACCGGAGCCTCCATCCCAACCAACCACGCCAGCGCCGGCGGGGTTCGAGCTGCCATTGGATCCGGGATGCGCTGACGCCTCATGAGATCCATGCGTATGCGGTGAAGATGGGGCAAAGCAGGCACAAGCCGTGAAGGTGGAGAGAGTGCAGGTGATTGATGGTCATTTGGGAAGCCCAGGATGTGCTGACAATTGCCGTTGTCAAGCACTTTCAGCATATCTAAGGCTAGCACACGGGTCCTGCGGGATAAGTATTGATAGCAAGCTGGGAATCTGCCACGTTTGTTCGGGTTGCCACTCCAAACATGGAACCAGGGAAGCTAGATGCCCGCTCCAAGTCACTAACATGAACGTGGAAGACCATGGAAAACCACCTGCTTGATCTCAGGAGAATGGTCATTCGCAATCGTGGCCATCCATGTAACCACCATGAATCCAGTTTCGAAGCTCCATGCCCTCCGGGTGTCTTTGGGCGTCTGCAGGTCTTGGTCCACAGTAAGGGCCTCGATTGGAGTGACCACCAGGCGCCGGCGCCCACATCGGCAGGTCTGACCCGGGGTCGGCAGGTCGATCTGGGCATCCACAAGCCATCGCGGAATCCTACCCCCCTCCCACCGGGTTCATCCCAGCCAAGCTATATATCAAGCAAGCTGACCTGCGGAGATGCAGTTCATGCGAGACCTCGCGAGACCTGAAGATATTGAAGATATTGAAGGAATTGGGCAGCCATCAGCCAAAGAGTGAATGTCAAAGCAAACTCTTGCTGAATCAAAACGTTGGACCTGTGAACGCTTCGAACCCACGTGGAATAAAGCAACAAAAACAACCGGAAACAACCATTGGGTGGGATCAGCAACATGGGGCTACCCCGCTACCCACCCGATCCATCATCCGCGTGAACGATGCACGCGAGGCCGCAGAGTGGCAGCGCGCTGCAGACTGAACGGGTCGTAGCACTAGTGAAGCCCAAGCGAAGCTGATTCGGCACCCAAACCCCGCACGGCGCGGCTTTCTGGAGCGTTGAAGCATCGACTTGGGCAGCTTCTCGCGGTGGCGGGTCCACGGCTGTGCTGTTTAGTCTTCAACTAACTAGGAACAAGAAGCTACTAGGGGGCTCATGGCCTTACTACTCGGAGCAAGGACGCTACTAGGGGCTCCTGGCCATACTACTAGGAGCAAGGAAACTACTGTCTACTTGCGTCCAGACGGCAGTTTCCCTTCATGTGAGGACTCTCCAGATCCGAGATGCCACATGCCACACGAGGAAGGGGCACAGAAAACCAAAACCAGTCAATGTTGTCAGCACCGGGTCAACCGATCAACGCGTCCATGCCGGGCTGCCGAACCCAAAGAAACAAGTCCTCCAAATTGAGGAATTTGGGTGGGGAGATGCGTGATGATGAGTGTCAACATGCTACGGTGGCACTATAGGCACTGTTGGATGACGGCTAGTACATAGACCGTCGATCATAGACCCACCAAAAAAGAGTGTGGGCCATGGTGCGCCGATGGGTGACTCGTGCGCCAAAAACAGCCCAGCCGAGTGAATCAGTGCCGGCGCCGCTGGTGGGTTTGAATGTACGTTGACATTGCACGCTGATGCCTTCGTTCCGTTCGTTCGGAAAGTCGTTGGCCGACTGCCCTAGACTCGCCCTCAGCCAGTTGCGAGGTGCTGTGAGGCCAGCTAGAGGCGCCGAGATCTGAGGTCTTTCTGGAACGATGGGGTCAACAATGGACAGTCAGACAGCCCACGGGTTTGCCAAGGGTTCCTTGGGGCGGGGCTGTGTGGATCTGGTCGATGGTCTGGTAAAAGGGTACCGCTGGGCGCTGCAAATGCTGCGGATCAAGCTGATCAAGCTGTGGATCTTCCCTGAGAGTCCAAATGACATCAAATGATTCAGTTTACCCCTGTGGTAGTGGTGGATCATGACTTTCCAGGTAGGGTAGAATAAGTCATGGGGCTATATGGGGTATATAAGTGACCTGAGGATACTGGAGCTGTTTAGTGAGTCTAAGGCAGGGCACTGCCGAGAGAGGGCCATGAAGTCGACATGGTCCTTGTCGATGTCGATGGGGTGTGCTGGATGTGGCAGTGACGCCGAACAGGAACAAATTCAAGTGAAATCGAGTGAGGGACATGAAATGGGACGTGGGCCACTCGTGAGGCTCATGAGTCATGAGGCCTTTTCATGTTTTTTTATGTGTTTGTTTATTGATTTAGCTTTACTCGCTTTACTGTATATAAATATGCATTTTGCAATGGCATGCAATGGCCACGACTTTCCTGAGAAGATGTTGCGTTCCAAAAACCTTTTCTCGTTGGCCACTGGAATTTCTGGACCAACATTTGCAAGTGAGCATCTCAGAGCTGCGTGTCTTTCGTGCTTTTGGTGATTTTTTGGGGAAGGAAAGAACATGTACCCCCTGCAGAGGACCACATGGACCCCCAACACCACTGGGTTGTAGAGGAAAATGGTGTTCCATGTTGGTGGTTGGCCTGGCCAGTGGGGTCGCATAAATCAAAGGCCGTCGGGGTCGTAGGTGGTTCACTTAGCCCGAGCAGGCAAATTAAACGGATGGAACTCACATGAAATCACTGACCTATGAATATGAATATAGTAAAATTTAAGCAAAACCTGCTATAGTAGGATATGATATAACTTATAAATATATACTATAATTATTATATATGCTTATATAACTATGCCGTCAAATTACATTGTCCGTCAATGTCCGTCAAGTGTGGGTCAGAAGCCACCGCGCACAGATTTTGAACATGTTGTCGGCTCGTGGGTGCCTACGCCCGCAACTTTACTTCACTCACCCCTCTTTTTCGTTGGAAGTAGGGGAGGCCAAATGTGCGGCGATGATACGTGTTCGTTCGACGAACAAAAAAAGGCCTGTCACGGCCTATCCAGCCGCTGTAGCCGCCAATGTCGTTCAGACATGTTCAGACCAGAGTCATGCATGGAAAAGGGTGATGCGCAATCGGATACTATCAGGACGCTGTAGCAGTAACCCGTACAGGTCGTACAGGTGAACCCTCAAGTCTTTTTAGGTGGATTAGGGATCCTTCCTCTTCAAATCTGAGGTATGAAGCGTTTAGTTCCAGGGATCGGCACTTGACCCATTTGGGAGCAATACCCTCTCGGACCGGTCGAAGTCTATGCTGTCGTATCACTCACCCCACGCTGTCGTATCCACAGACAAAAGCTGCGTGGCCGTCGTTGTGTGTCTAGCGAAGGGTCCTCGTTGAAATCTGGTTGCGTAGCGAAGGTTTGGTCGTTTGTGAACATCGTATGCGTGTGGATTCGGGTTCGTGGGTTCCATGTTGCTTTGACTTTCATTTACTTTCCGCTTTTTTTTCCCCGAACTCACTCACGGCATGAGGCTGGCGAGGGACGCTTTCCGGCAGGGGCCTTTGAAACTTTGGGGGGGGGCCGTGGAGGGAACGTCAACTGCTCGGAGTCGTGGGCGCGCAGCGCTATGGGGGGTGATTCATTTCTTCCCCATCAAACAGGGAGGGCCGAACTTGGAGCGACCACGTTGGGGAGTGCTCCAATACCCAAGGCTATAGGTCGGGGTCATGTACTTTACTCCGCATGCGAGGGAAGGTTGCCCGCAGGTCACCCGAGACTTTTCATGATTGGTCACCATGGCCCAGGCCGGTCAAGTCGACACTGGGGACAGCCAGGAGCACGGCACACGGAGCTTTGCAGATCACATGTTGCGGTGCTTTCGCACGCTGCAGAAAACTGCAGAAAACGGTGGACAAAATGAGATGCTGACATCAGGGACTCTTGCTGGCTCGCTGGTTGACTTGGTGGTCGCTGTGATTCGGAGGTTTCCGTCGTGTCCGTAGACGGGCTGCGACCTCCCCCCGAGATCCGGGCTGGGGCTCGTCGGGCCGGGGGGATGCCGCACCGGTTCCAGGAGCCTCCTCCCATGTCAGCGCCTTTGCAGAGGCTGTGCAGCCTCCTCTCAGCGACCGCGCAAAGACGACGGCTAGCCACAGTTCGCACGGATGCGCCCAGCACCGAAAACGGCTCCCGGATCGGAGGATCGGTGGCCTTGACCCTCAAACTATAGCTATATAGCGCTCAGGAGACAGCCACGGCTCGGGCCCGGTGGGTCCCTTGGGAGCCGTGGGTCGGAGCTTCAAAGAGTTCCCCAGGGCCCCGGCAGCTATGTTTAGGCGGCCCCTTCCAGCTGTGACATCCCAGAACAGGCCTCGAAGCAAACGTAAGGAGACCAATTGATTCTATGAAATTGGGGGAACCGCAACAGACCCAACAAGCAAGAACAAGACTCTTTTTCCGGTGGACACAAAGCCCCCATCGAGTCTCTGGCTCCTAAGTGCTTGCCTTGAGTCGAGCGTGGGCGTCCAGTGCATTTTCACACCGGCCCTACTCTAACGGCCAAGCGAGACCAAGAGAACGTCATGCGTGGTGCATTGTGTTCTATGGCCTGTTTCGGAGAGTGACCAGTAACCACTGTTGCAAACACACCTGAGAAAATCCGAGTTCATTTTCTTAGTAAGGGGATCCGCGATCATGTTATCACCAGCAACCCAACGTAGGGAACCCCCTGATCTATAGAGATCATCCTTGAGTATGGCTATGTCTATAGCCGTTCTCTTGTCCTCTACTTGAGAGTAGGTACACACCAGCTTGTTGATGCAGTCGTATAGCGACCGAGAGTCAACTACGGAGACATAGGGGATGGATGCCAAATGCCGCTCCCAGTCCTTGGTCTCCATGGTCGTGCCCATCAGTTCGAGGAGGAGGTAGCGGTGCCAGTGTATATGGCCAATGCCATGTACCAGCGACTGGCATTCTGCGCTCAGGGTGTTGACGGTCTTCCTTTTGAGCTTTGTTGATTTCCATGAGGTCACGGAAACCATGTGAGGTCGATCTTCGGTTTCCATTCTCTTGTCATAAAAGATCATCACATAGCCTCCTTGGCTGCTGCAATTGAGGAGCTTGAGGAAGGTGTCATTGATCTTTCCATGTTCCAACTCGTGTCCAGGAAGCTGTTTTGTGAAGATGGTCTTTCCGGTCCAAGGTGAGTCCGTCCAAGTTCGGACACTATTTCCTTTTGTCCATTCATCTTCTAGGGCTTCTTCGTTTGTAGTCATCGTTCTGCGACCTGGTTGTAGATCGTGAAGATCTGGTCCTGGATCGGCTCCTGGATGGAAGAGGACTCTTCTGGGAGTGACATGATGTCGAATCCAGTGTGAGGATTTCTCTTCCCAGTAGTCTTGTGAGCTAACTTCCAACTGATCCTGGCTTTTGGCGTTGGACCATGATGCGTCCGTTGCAACTCCGATTCGCAGGTTCTCTGGTTGGATCGGCATGATCTTGATGCCGCTTGAGGGGTGTCTTCGAGCCTCCTGAGTGATGGAGTTTGCCTCGATGATGTCCTTGATACGAGGCTTGGGAAAGACCTGCTGAAGCAGAGCTACTCTTCCGGCCAAGTCGGGCCTGCTTTCCTTGGCAAGCCAGGCAAGGGCGCCGATGCTGGCTCGTAGTTGGGTGATCTCCTTGTCGTCGCAAAAGGTGTATCTCTTTTTCTTTCGTTGTTTTTCCAGGTTGATCTCGAAGAGCTTCTCCTGGACGTAGTTCTCCTGGTTCACGATGATGCTCGAGTCCTCTTGCTGAGTGAACATTTTTCCAGTGAACTTTCCTGATCCATACTGGAATTTTCCAAGCTTATATTTCACTTTGATCTGGTCCATAGCTTTTTGATGTTCGTCGTCACCTCCATGTAGAAGGTCATCCGTAGCGACTGCAATGACGCCGCTGAGGATCGGTTTACCAGTGTTTGGACAGTTCCGATGCTTGTAGTAGATGCATGGATCTGCTAACGACTGCTGGTAGTGCAGTTGGCTGGTCAGGAACTTCTTGAGATGATTGTACCATGCCAGTGGGCCGTCAGTAAGCCCGTAGCAAACCTTCTCGAGTTTGAGGAGTTGGCACGGTGCGACACCAGGGATACCTTCACGAGGTGGAGTTGCATAAAGAAGTCGTTCAATTGCGTCTCCACTGTGGAATGCCTGGGTGAAGTCCAAGAAGCCGAGCTTCCAACGATGGCTTGCAACCAGTTGGGCGACCATGAGAGTCCCTTCTCTGGTAACCTGAGGCGTTGTTGCCTCGATGTCCTCGGAGCCTTCTTCACTGAATCCTTTCATCACGTGTCGGGCCTTAGCCTTGCATGGCTCTTCAGAATCCCAGTCGAGAAGGATCCCTTCCTGTTTGGCTGGTTCGACTTCATGAGGTTCCAGTGGTTTTGGAGTGAGGACCAATCGGCTTTCCATGATTCGGTGTGGCATAGTTTGTCGAACCTTTGCTGACTCTTCTGGGGAGACAATGGAGTATGCCCCAATGTTGATGTTGTTGTTGAATTCCTTGCTGATTGCCGCCTTGAAGCATTTTTGATTCTTGACGCTGAGTTCCTGGAAGCGGATTTCCTTTTTCTGTCTTGTTTTCATCAGGCTGTCCACTTTGTTCAGGTAGATCTCCAGGTATTCATGCCTCAGCCGTTTCAAAGGCGGTTGGTCGTGTGGTTCTCCTTCATCAAATTCTCTTTTGTTGTTCTCGTCTATGGTGGGGTGTTCTTCTAGTTGTTCTCCTGGTCCTTCTTCAGCAGGAAGTTCGTCATGATCTTGTTCTCGCGGATCTTCTGCTGCAGGAGGTTGAGGAAGGTTTTCCTGTGGTGCCTTTGTTCGATACCTCTTTGCTGGAGGTGGATAACCAAGAGGCTCTTGAAGTCCGTCTAGTCCTGGAGCCATTGGAGGTGCAATCGGTTCATCTTCAGGAGGTTCGGATGGCTCATAGTCCATATCTTCTAGATCTCCATCGGCCAGTTCAGGAGGTAGAGGTTGGTCAGAGAGGTCAAGGAAGCCTCGAACAGGTTCCGTATGGAGGTCCTTTTTGATGCTGACAATGTCGTCAAGCCAACCGGAGAGAGCCATGTTCTCTTCGGATGATGCCCTCCGAATACGTTCCGGACTTGCCTTGACTAGATTTGACTGGTACGCTAACCAGATAGTGCTGGGCTGGTCGATCATGATGATGCGAGCTGGTCCCTGCCAGTATCCAGGTTTGAACTTGAGCTTTTTGTCCGCTCCCATTCGATAGAAGTAGACGAGCTCGCCGATGTCGTAATCGAGGATCGGTCTTGGTCCTGATGAAATAGCTCTCCGCAGGGCGTTGTCGGCGTCGGCTTCGATGAAAGCCTGAGCTGCAGCCTTCCGAAGCTTCATGGATCTTTCGACGCTAAGGTCGCCGACTTTCAATGCTGGAGCATCTTCGCGAGTCCGATGTCCATCATCTCCATTTAGTAGCCCTCCTGGTAGGAATGGGTTGAATCCCAAGACACGTTGACATGGACTGAATCCTCCCACGTTCATCATACGGTTCTTTGTCATGGTGGTGAGGTCTACCATTTCTTCCCATTCCTGCATGTTCCCGCAGCTGTAGGTGTCCATGGTTTTCTGGAGAATGTATTTGAAAGTTTTTCCATGTCTTTCAGTGATGCCTCTTTGATGTGGTGCCTCCACGGCCGCTGGATCTATATAGGTTCCATCTCGTTCAACTTGTTCGGCGAAGGTACCGCGGAACTCACGTCCCAGATCCAGAGCCATTCTTTTTGGAGGTCCGAACAATCTCAGCCAGTGTCTGTAGGCTTCTCGAACTTGTCCTGGTTTCTTGTTGGGCAAGGGGATCATGAGTTGAAATTTGCTTGACCAATCTATCACGTTGAGTGCTGGCCTAGAGCGATTGCCCAAAGTTGGCAAGAAGACCACATCTACTCCAACACATTCGTTGAAGCTGAGTTCCTTGGGCGGCGCACTCCGTCGTGCGGGTCGAACTTGGGCATGTCGTTGACAGACACTACATTTCAGTCGTTTTGCTGCCTCAATGACCTCTGGCTTTGCCTTGGCATACCTAAGTATACGGGCAAATCGGTCCGGGCTCGGATGTCCCATTCCGACATGTGCTCGATGTAAAAGTCGGTCCATAGTGAAGCGACGTTCCAGAGGTAGTGGTGCATTTGGTTGTTCATCGCCTTCCGGTTCATGGTCTCCTTCATCATCCTCACCTCGTGGTTCTTCAGCATGTAGTTCCCATGGTGGACCAGGTAGAACGCTTTCGACTTGATCTGATCGTCCTGGATCGGCTTCGCTTAGGTGAAGTTCATGTCCAGGGACTTGTGGAGCATATAGCGTAGTTCCCTGATCTCCGTCTGGTCGATGCCCTGGGTGTAGTTCATGGTCAACCAGTAGTTCCACTGTCAGTAGTGAGTTCAGGCGATCATTCTCCAGGAACATTTGTTCAGAGGTGATGATACCTACCTCAGCTCCAATCGAGCGTGAGTAGGCCGCAAGGATGGCTTCCCGAAGACCTTCCGGATAAATCTGTGCTTTCTTGGACTTGTTGCCACCAATGATGACTTCATGTTGATGGTCGCCAGGGCATAGAGCGTTCAGGGCCTTGGCGATCTCGGGGCTGTTGGTGGCGAAACCAGTCCGTTTTCTTTGGGGTTGGCCAGATTCTCCACGGAGTCCGTATTGGCATTGGTCTGCCTTCGTGTACACTACGTTCGGTTTGGAAAGGAGCTGCTCCATGGCACGGTGTTTCCAGGAGGAGGCAGCGTGAGGATGTTCCAAAAGGAACTTGATGCCCAAGTGATCGCACAATTCGCACAACTGCAGAGCAAACAACAAAAGTTGTTCTCCTTCCGACTTCCTCTTTAAATACTTTTGAAGAAGAGCAGGAACTCGTTCTCGTTTGTTTTTAGACAGGTTTTGCAACTGTGAGTACATTTCACATGGTGGTGCAATGCAAACCAGTCCAGGCCTAACATCTTTCACATACTGCACGACTTCGTTTCGTTTGTTTGCTTTCAACAAATCACAATCCAACTTCAAGTCAAAAGCACGTCCAGAATTGAGGTTGAAGCGGTGTGCAATTTCTCCAAAACAACCGGGATTATAGATCTCAGCCACCGTTCTAAGTTGTTTATGTGAAAGTCCCATGATTTCAGCAATCTGATGTGTCCTTTTCGATCCGTTAGGGTGCAGAGTAAACTCCTTGCAAAGTTCATCATTAAAGCTGCAAATCCAGTCTCGCAGTTTCGCATCTCCATCCTGCGTTTCTGCGAGGATGTACTGGATCTGTTTCCAAAAAGCCACAGCCTTCTTTAAGGCCGCCCGGAGCTTTCTTTCAAGCTTTGGGGTCATTGGCTTGAAGGGCCCTTCATTCGGCGCCAGCGCAGGAAGTCCATGAAGTCCTGGTAGTCCTCCGGTTCGGTCATTCCTTCCTGAGGTGATGTTGGCGTTGGAGTTGACGGACGAGGTGGTGCCTCTGAAGGACTGCTGGGAGAAGCCGTCTCCGTGACCACAGTCTTCTTTTCTTGCCGGATCACCTTGTTGCAGTAGCGGCAGGTCACCTTGGTCAGGAAGGCGTTGGATCCCTTCTGATGAGTTGATGAGTGTGGACAAATTTCCTAAACCATTCCCTCCAGCACCTCTGCATAGGACTTGGGCTTCTCGCCTGGTTGTTGGCGGTATTTCCAGCTGGTCACATCTTTCAATGGCTGGCATGCGCGGTTCAGGTGTTCTTGTCCGGGTCATCTCAAAAGGCGAGGAGCTGGTTGGTACATTGCTGGAGAGGTTCTTGTCGATGAACTCTTCCGTCTCCAGGCTGCCCACAAAATGCACCTCGGGTGTGTTTTCCAAAAGGTGTGTCTCGTTCGTTCGAGATGTGCCCATCGATGAGGAGCTGCCTGGTTTCATGGGAGGATTCTTGCAATCTCGTTTCCAGTGGCCGATCTGGCCACATTGTCGGCAGCGGGTCCTCTTCTGCAGCTCGGCAATCGTCACGGAGTAGGATCCTGGTCGTAGAGGTCGGTCTCGATCTCCCCGAGTCGAACTGAAGTTCGGTCGTCGACCAACTCCATAGCCTCGGGCGAGTTCCTTGGTTTTCTTGTCCTTGATCGACTGAGTATAGGTCTTCCTCTGCTGGAGGTAGGTAGAGAGGATCTCGGCCGCCTCCGATTCACTCAGGGCGGTCTCTTCTGATTGCCCTTCATCCTGGAGCTCCATGATGTAGTGCTCGATGTTTTCGATCTCCTCCTGGTCGGTGCCATTACCCTCAATGACCTCCTCAGTGGCATAGACTCCGTCATACTCAGTGTGGAAAGTGCCGGCTGCCTTCTTCCGGTCGGCCCCAAGCTCTGAGGCAGACAACTTTGTTTCATTCTTTCTCAACCAGCTCTTGATGGAACTGGGCTTGATGCAGCCGTGGGTGTAATTCAGCAAGGCCTTGGTATCGCTCTCGGTCAGCTGCAGCCCATTGATCATCAAGAAGCCTTCATACTCGGGTGGAAGCACGATCTTGTGTTGTTGAACTTTCCGAATGGCGTTGTCCCACTTGGCGAAGTATTCCCTCCAGGACTCTGTCTTCTGCCTCCGGAGGTGGTAGGTGATGCGGGACATGGCCGTCAGCATGTGCTCCTGCTGGTCATCTCCGAAGCGTTCAGGCTTATCCATGTCTTCAAGAAGACGTTCAGCACCTCGTGGATCTCCGAGCCAAACAGGATCTTTTGCCCAGTGCTTGTAAAGCTCGAAGGGTGCTCCTGTCAACATCTTCAACAAGAGAGGCCCTCGCGACTTGGCCTTGTCCTTGGTCGTCGCGATCCATAGTTGGGCCTTGATGCGATAGTCCTCGAATGGGGTCTGTCCATCCCATGATGGTGGAGGTCCGGAAGCCCCTCTTCCTTCTCCACTATCATCACCTTCTTCTTCTTCTCGCTCACGGCGGCGCCTATGACGTGTCGGACCGCGGCCTTCTTCTCTCTCCATCTGGAGAAAGCGTTGGAACCGAGCGAAGGCTTCCCGGTCACTCCCTAAAACGTCCTGCGCGCCCTGAGCCCCCGTGGAGCCAGCAGCTGGCGAGCCGCCGCCTGGCGGTTCATCCAAGTCGCCATCCGAAGGTGGAATGGCCTGTCTATCGGCCATTCAAAAACCTAGACGGGATGGGGGCTGGTGACCACCAAGAAAAAGAGTCGAACCCAAACCAGCCCGGTCGGAACCGGGCTCCGCTACCACTATGAAATTGGGGGAACCGCAACAGACCCAACAAGCAAGAACAAGACTCTTTTTCCGGTGGACACAAAGCCCCCATCGAGTCTCTGGCTCCTAAGTGCTTGCCTTGAGTCGAGCGTGGGCGTCCAGTGCATTTTCACAGATTCATAAAGCCTCCCGTTTTGGCTTGTAAAGCCGTTTCATTTGGTGTTTGGCAGTCAAGAGATATCAAGAGTCTAAATCAAGCAAAACCACTGACCACCACCAGTGACCACCACAACAAAAATGCCAAAGCGAGATAAAGCGAGCCATTGTGAGTGGAATGCCATCTACAATATTGAGAATGGACGCATTTGGTGGTTTCAGCTGCAGTGAAGAAAACGCGTCACGGTGGTCCAAGGCGATGTGTGACCTACCTTGGAAGGTACGACTGGACCCTCCAACGCTTCAGCTCCCGGAAGGAAGAACCATGAATTCCGATAACGAAGCGGGGGGGTGTTCCACTCCACTTCTGTGAGTTCCAGGTAGTGTAGATGTTTTTGGAGCGTCTCCGATCACCAAATCATCAGGTGGCGTATGTGAATCTCACCTCAGAGGGCGGCAGTGGATCCGGCCATAGGGCTCGATCGGCTCGTCCGCGGTGGACCGCCAGGCCGCCCGATGCCCAGAAGGCTCGGTTCAACCCTGTAGAAGCGAACCGAGTCATGGAGAGCCAATCCGACATTCGGGTGGTTTTGGTGGTGAATTTATATACCAGACACGACACGTTTGGGACTGCCATATATGCCGATCAGTTGGGGTGGTTTGGCGGGTCAATGTAGGCATATAATTTAATGGCATATATGGCATACATGGAGTGTTTGGGTATGGTTTATAGATGTCTAGAGTGAATGTACGTGAATGTAGATCTTATGTACCTAGACCTACACGGAGCGTTTGGGTTAAAAGATGTAGAACTTGGGATCAGGACACTCAAGCTTACTAACATTTACAAACCTATTTTCACTCTCATCCTTGAATATGTTCTACCTTCAAGCGCCTCTTTATGGATGGAAGAACGGGAGGCTCCCTGGTCGAACTGTGGGTCTCCCTTTTTTGCTGCTCATACCGCCCAAATCGATGGGGAAGCGATGGACAGATGCGGCATCGTGCGGCATTGGATGGTCCTTCCACAGTAGATGTATATAAAATGTATATATAGATTTAGGTGAGTGTACATGTAGAGCTGATTGTGTCAAGAAGAACGATAAAGACCGGCTTTTGTCCATTGCATCAGCTTTCATCAATCAAGTCATTCGATCCCCACATCTTCATGTGTTGCACCCTGCAGGGCCGGCGATGCTGCCGGTGTCCGCGGCTCAACAGCCAAATGGCGCGGGTCGCCCAGCAAATGGTCAGTGTAGCTTGGATTCTCCAGCCGCCCTGGAGGAAATTTAAATGACACACCTAGGGATTTGGTGATCCTGCCTTGGCACTGTCAGCTGTCAAATGGGGTGGATCAAGGCACAAAAGTAGATCAAAGCAGACAAGCCACGTCAATTTGTATGACAAGGATTGAAAAGGCTAGGATTTAATTGCTGCAGATCCCAATTGGGGGAAGCTGCAGCCCCTCACAAGAAGGCCCACACCAATAACGCACATTGTCGCCCATGAAATTGCAACGTGGATGTTGAGTGTAAAGCCTACCATATGAAGGAGGAAAGTGGTTGTCAGAAGGATCGTGACATGGTATACAGTCCTCTTCCTTTGTTCTTGGATGGAGGGCATCCAGGTAGGTGTTGGCAGAGAAAGCTGAAGAAATTGTTTGACAAGAATACAGGTGAATATAGGACTCCAAAACCAAAGTGTGCTTTTCCACGCTTCTCATTGTTTCTTCCACACAGTGTGTGATCTGAAAATCCCTCGCATCTTGTTGTTCCTTGATTCCTTGTGTTAAGAAACGTATAGAATGCAAAGTGCACTAGGTCAGTGCACCGCCTTCGCTGCTCCATGCTGCTCCATGCTACAGCGGCAAAACCAGCCAGCCGTGCACCGCAGGCCGTCGAAGCTCTTCAGCGTGCACCGCAGTGGTATTGTGAGACGCCAGTGGCTGAGATCGCTCCGAGCTGGTGCTCCCAGCCAGAAGCATCGATGGCCAAACCGGTGTTCGAAATCGACCCCCTATTTGGCCAAAGGGGACCGTAGGGCACCGAAGCGTTATAGATCCAAAGTGAGTGGATCATGGGCACCCCGAAAATTGTATTTGGCCAAATTATATTGGTGAACATTTTGGTTTGGGCGGCGGTGTTCGATTTCGACCATGTCAAGATTCGGATCTTGGCGGATCTCGTCGCGCGAGCGTTTTGCATGAGGCTGGCAGAGCGGCCCTGGATCTACTTAGCTTTCTGGGTGCCCCAGCGGCAACGCGCGTGTGCGGACGATGCCACGTGACCATCCCCAGGTCGTGACCCTCCACGTCTTTGCCACGTTTGTGCTGGATTCAATCTACAGCTCCCAGCATTTTGTGAGAGGCACTTCACCACTTTAGAACAGGTCGCTCA